ACAACCAAAAACGCTACTTTTTTATCATAGAAATTCCGCGGATTTATAGTTTTGTACCTAACCCCCTTGACTTTTACTTAAAGTTCTTTGATTAAACTTGTAAAAAATCAGTACGTACCAAAATTTTATTTTTAAATATATAGTTGGATTTCCTCAATTAAATTTAAATACAGTAAATTAAGCACTTGGCTTGTTGCTAAAAACCTAAATTTTTTTTTATTAAATTCGGCCCAGAAGTTTTTGAAAAAATAAATATTTTTAAAATAATTTTACCACCCTGTATCTCGAAAACGAAGCTTTAAAACATACAATAGAAGTTCATATTAACTTGTCTTCTTATTTTTGAGGGTTCTATTGACTATAGTATATTATAATTAATTTTCCCAATTAAAATTTTATACTGCCTTTATAACAGGGTGGTCCAAAAGAAACCTTTAATAAATTAAGAATCAATAAAAAACTTATATAGAAAACTCAACAGTTTCAGAAATACAAGGTGTTGAAGTTGCATATATTTTTGATTTCTACTAAACTAAAGAACCTATTTTATTAAAATTTGGTAAATATTGTTTTTTATGACGTACATTTGTTTTCATACTACAAGCAGTGGCGTCAATATGGGGGGTAATAATATCCCTTCTTAGAGAAAAAAAGGTTCGCCAATGATATATTATATACTTATTAGTGTTCTTTTTTATAATTCTGTATTATATCTATATAAATATTTTTACTTTTTTACTATTTAGTCCAGTCAAAGCGTCGTCAAAAAGGGCCCGACTTTGCGTGCTGAGGCACTGTCTAATTTTTTTCATAAATCGTTCGTGGCTTATATAATAAGCTTAAAACCTAATTTGCACCACCTGACAATTTAAAAAACAAAAGATATACGCAAAAATACATTTTTTTAGTTTTTTGCGATTATTTCACAATAAAAAATTAAAAAGCAGATTATATGTTTTGAAATTCCCTATAATTTTTGTATTAAGTAAGTATCTTTTGTTTAATTAAATAATTTAAAAAATATACACAAATAAAGTAAAAAAAAAAATGTTAACACTTTTAAGAAATATCTGACAAACGGCGCATTTTACGACAAATTATAACAAGAGACATTAAAAAAAATGTATATAATTTTCCGCACCACCCAAGAGGTAAAGTATCAGGCGCGTTTTTTATGGTGGTATCCCCTATTATAGGGCCTAATCCAAACCCCAAATTTATCAATTCCGTCTATGCTTTTGATCTTATCGGATGTGAAGGCATTTCGATGTCACTCGTCTGGTCGTTTTTCAGATTTATCGTAAAGGTCTTCGTAATCCTCTTCGTCGGAGTCATTGGCAATCTCGGCTACATTTAAACATCTTCCCGCAACAAACTTTGCACACTACAGAACATTTTAAACCGGCCTTTCGACAGCCGCACGCTGCACCGCATTGTTTCGTGCACGAAACACGAAATGATGTCAACAAGTGATGATGGAATCGTCTCTTCTGAGGTCATCACAGGCTCCAATCCCCTTGCACTTATTTTCCAGTCCCACTATTTTGGATTTAGCCATATGGCTAGGCATATGTCTGCACCTGATGGAATTTCCTAAAAATGTCCATGGGTGGAAAATTAGCAAGATCCGATTTGATTTTCGCGCTTGCCTCTATCGAACTCATTTTGGCTATATCTTGAACTCGAGGGGAGTCGTTTGAAGAAGTTCTACTTCTAGAAAAAACACGGTAGTATTCCAAATTTTCCGAATTCACTTGCAATAGGTAGAGTCTGCTTTCGATCAACGGGTTTGTCAGCCGCTATAGCATCGCGGGGGGATACCCCCTAGAACGTAAAACGTTCCCTTCCCATTAAGAGTATTCGTGTTCCAGTCCGCTTCACTATATGAAACCGAATAACCCAAATTGTATACAACTTGAATAAGATCTTTAGAACCTACCTTCTTATAAAGAAATGCCCCAATTCCTAGTTGCAGGAAAGAAAAGAAAGATGTGGGTCTCGCTGCTGACATTATTGCATGAGCAATTGTTTCGCATTTTCTTTTCCATTTATCAATATTTCCACGCCTAAATTTGATAATGATTTCCGATAGGAAAATGCGCAAATTTTCCGGGACAAAGTTTTCTGCGTGTTTAAGAAAATTGTCGCTTGAAGGGTTCCTACTTATCGACGTTGCAACATACAGACCTAATATCTTTAGAAGTTATTGCCGCTGCTTCAAGAACAATTCTCTTTCTCTCTATTTTTAGGTCTAGCGTTTTTCCCTCGTAAAAAGTTTTCGCGAGAACTTCGTATTCAGCGTTACGAAAACACACGATGGTTGGTTTTCCATTGCGCTAAAAAAAAACAAAGTTATTTCCGTATTTTGCTTTAGTCGAGATATAATTGTTTGATTTTGGGGAACGTAATCGCCTCGAGTTTTTGAAATTAAATCGCTTATGACATATTGGCATTCGTCGGGATTATCGTTGAAGTAAAACTTTTGAAGTAAAACTTCTTTACGCACGCTTGACTTGGGAAGTAAGTTGCTAAATGCGTGACGAGAGCGTTACGAAAAGTGTGATCGGGCGAGGCGAACGGAAGTTGAGGGGGAGATATAAGTTAGTGAAGATAGAAAGAGAGAGAGTTACGTTTCGTATATTACTGTTGGGGCAAGAGATAGAGATACGAGCACACATTTTCTTTCTCTTTCTCTCATAGCCAGTGCATGAAACATATACACTCGAGTGAAGCCGAGTGGAGCCGATAATATGATATTTAGCTCTGACTGCAACAAAATCTGCGACTTTCAATTCGTTGTTTTAAATCGCGATATTAAAGGCTTTTCATATGTCTCTCGTTTAAAACTGCAAAATTTTTAAATTAAACTTACATTACGCTCTAAAACATCTTGAAATTTAGAGGTTGAAGCTTGAACACTTAACACGCTTAAGTTCTTACTGTAGCTTTTTCGATTGTTGTCATAAACTTTTATCGTCGTGTGGTCTTCACGTCTTCGTTCAATGCTGGCAAGCAGTGTATGAATCCCTCTTTTTTTAACATTCACAGTATCGCCGAAATCCAAAGATTTTTTGCAAATAAAATACGTGTGCTATGACTGCAAGTAGAGGTGGGCCGGTTTGCGATTTTTCAAGAGCTGCGATGCAATGCGACTGCTCCGGCCGGAACACTGTGACAAAAAGCAGCGATTTTTCGAAGCAATGGGATTTGCGATGCTCCAGAGCAGTTTTGTTTGAGCAGTGCCACGGTAAAAGCAAAACACTGGCGAAAGTGCAAACGGCGAAGCAACTAGAGATAAGCGATATTTCACGAACTGTGATTTTTTCACTGATATTTAAAAATCACGAATAACGACTGCTACTTACATCTATTAATTAGCGTGATCTGTGATTTTTCACTTAGCGATATATGTTTGTTAAGTTTAAAAGGTTTTTTGTACGAGTTATCTACCAATAAGTTCAATCACATATTGATAAATACATGTGGAACAATTCCCCACACGGTCGCTGCTGAAGAGAGCAACAGCGACGGCCTGGTATAATTAAAATTTCGGAGCAATTTAAATTTTAAATTGCTCCGAAATGTCGCTGCGATTTTTACTGCCGCGGAGCAGTTTGCGATTGCGACGCCACCGGAGCAGTGACAAAGTAGCAGTTTGCGAAATCGCAACACACCTCTAACTGCAAGTTTTGACAGGACGAAGCGTGACAGACTTTGAGACACGTGGGTTGGTCGGCTCTTAGTTTAACCGAGCTATTTTTTTTTTAATGTAGATAAATGAAAGAGCTAGTAAATTTCTATTATATTAATTTACCGTAAAATACGCCGTTTGCAAAATATTTGCGAATAAGTATCCATCATTTTATTTTTTTACTTTATATATCTATATTTTTTAATTATTGAATTAAACAAAAAATTAATAAAACAAAAATTATAGGGAATTTCATAACAAATAATTTGATTTTTAATTTTTTATTGTGTAATTTACGGGGGCCGAGATAATCGCAAAAAACTGAAAAAATGCATTTTTGCGTTTATCTTTTTGTTTGTAATTGTCAGGTGGTGCAAATTTGGTTTTAGGCTTTTTATATAAGCCCCTAACGATTAATAAAAAAAATAGACAGTGCCTCAGCACGCAAGGTCAATCGACGGTTTGTCTGGACTAATTGTACCTGCTATGGAATCCTTTTTAGGTCTTTACTTTGAAACAGTTAAATTGACGTGCCGCCAATTTTAAATTAAGCGGAACGGGCCAAGCCGCTTAATTTAAAATTGGTGCACGGCAGTGTTATGACGAATTCATGCATTAAGTCACTAGCGTGCCCGTAAAAACTAAATTGCAGGCGAAATAAGTATTTTGGATTATTTATTCAAACGCAGGGGTGCAACGTGCACGTTAGATTTTCCTAACCTTAAAACTACAAAATTAGATGATATTTTTTGTCATAATATATTAACCTACCTTTGATACAGATACTCTTATTGCATAATAGAGAAGACAGTTTTTTTTAAATAAATGCCGTTTATTTAAACCCTTTTTATTGGCGCCATACACATTTGAATTTCATTAAATGCAGATTTTATAGTCCTAAAACATTGTTATTGTGATACTTTATTAATTTTTAACACTTAAACATAAGCGGTAAGCGTATAAAAATTAATTCTTTTGTTGGCTTTACTTTGAAAGATAATCAACTAAATTCTTAAAAGACTACGTTCCGTACCGTACGTTCCGGACCGTACGTGGTGGGACTTAGGTGTACTTCTATGTTATATTTGATTATATGTATTTAAAAAAAATATATACTGATTACAATCATTGTATGTATGTATGTACTAGACTTTGGGAATATTTTGTCTGGCAGATCAGGTTTCATTACTTACTGAAGAATAAAACATTTTACCTAATTTTATCACCACTAGGTTGTTTCAAGATTTTTGAATAACATAGTAACACACAGTTCAATAACATATTATGTTATAAATATTGATTTTTTTAGCGCAAATCAATTTTGGAGCCAAATCCAAAAGGAAACTTTGTCATCATAATTCCTCCACCAAATGTGACAGGTTCCTTGCATTTGGGGCATGCCTTGACCAATTCCATTCAGGATTCTATAATAAGATGGTAAGTTTGTCTAGAAAGGGGTATTAATACACTTCTCCAAGAAATTAACGCACCACCATAAAATAACCAAAAGTTTTAAGTAAATTTTTGTCAAAACCAATTGTCCGATTTTAAGGTTTTTTTTTAATAATAGGTGTCCCTTTCACAATGTTGGTATACTTACTGTATTTCCACCTCTGGCACGAATAACTTCTTGACAACGACAGCCCATACTTAAAATTAGAGACTTTATGTCATTTTGGTCCAGTCCTTCCCATATTCGAATAAGTTTCTGCCATACGTCTTACAAAGTATTCACGTTGCGTTCCTCTTGTAATCTCCTCCCAAGAGTGTCCCAAAGATTCTCTATGGGATTTAAGTCCGGGCTCCGAGCTGGCCATGCCATAGTAACGGTTTCGACTTCCTCTAGATAATTTCTCACAACTCGAGCAACTTGTGTTCTTTTAACTTAGCAGGGGGATGTAAAATTTTAATCTGTTTTATGCAAAATTCAGGTAAATATCAGACTCTTACAAAATTTAATTTGTTTAAAAATCCATTACCATAATTAATCAAAATAATAAAGGATGTCAAAATTTTAAATTTAATAAAATATGGTGAACATGATTTCAAAAAGTTAAAAATAAAACATATAATTATGTTGCTGTATGGGTGTGGAGTTTCCCCAAAGGCAAATATTATATTTCTTAACCCCACACATTAATCTACTTATAAAAGCAAACAATGTGATTTTTTAGCAAGTTTTCTGCATAATTTATACTTAGTTAAAAAATTAACATTGTGAACATAAGAAAAATGCAAATTTCATAAAAAGACAAAGTTTTAATCAGGATAAACATAGTACATGTATAAACATACACATTTTTTGAAATGCCAATTTTTGAGAATTCTTTTTATAATAAAAACAGCTTAGGCATCTTATTAACTTATTTTTACGGATGCAAATTTGTATTTAAATCGGCTCATTTCCCGATTTGGTGATGTTTTGTGGCCCCCTTGATCGCCAGATGTGATAATTTGACTGTTTCTCATGGGGCTACCACAAGGCGCGCGTTTACAACCTCAGAACACTGAAAGACACTGAAATGCAACGTAACGACAGGAAATCGAGGAAATTGATCGCCTACTTCTGTTAAGAGTGAATGCCAACTTTCGTTTAAGGATTCAATCATCCATTAAAATGGTCACTACCTCAATAATTTTTCGATCATAATATTTTTTAATGGCATGCCATAAACTGTTTTCATTATACCTGAATAAAAAAATATTTCAAATATTGATTTTGAGTGTTCTCATTTAAAAAAATAATCACACTTCCTACCTTCCTTTTTTGGATTGCTTTTAAAGAAAAACTTTATAAATGTGTTTATATATTATTTGCTCCCTAAAGGATTTAATTAAAAATAAACGAATTTTAATGAATGCATATAAAAATGACTGACTATTGAGTGTTAAAGGTTTAGTAACTTTTTATTAGTCAAGGAAATCCCATTGTTTTATGTTTTTAAATTTACATTAAAAACGCTATTACAATAAAAACAAAAATTATCATATCTTCCGCTTTTTGTTTCCTAAAATCTGGCAACCCCTTTTCCAGGCAACGTATGAGAGGCAAAACCACTTTATGGAATCCAGGATGTGATCATGCAGGTATAGCAACACAAGTAGTAGTGGAAAAGAAATTATGGAGAGAAGAGAAAAAGACGCGTCATGATATTGGCAGGGAAGAGTTTGTTAAAAAAGTGTGGAATTGGAAGGAAGAGTAAGTCAGTATTAAACCTTGATAAGGCATTTTTGTAAAAAAATATTTCTAATTAAAGAAAGGGTGTAAGGATATACCATCAACTGAAGAAGATGGGTTCTTCATATGATTGGGATCGTGCAGCTTTTACAATGGATCCTAAACTTTGTAAAGCTGTAACTGAAGCTTTTGTAAGGTTACATGAGGATGGTACCATTTACAGATCCAACCGGCTGGTTAACTGGTCTTGTACCTTAAAATCTGCTATTTCTGATATTGAGGTAAATAAACAAAATTTATTAGTAATACACTTTTTTGCATTTGACATATATCTTGGGGCTCTGGAGGGACTATTGATTGATGTGTCTGGTAGATATAAAAATATAGCTGTCCTAGGTGATTTTAATGTTGATTGTTTATCAAATTCTATGCAACGAAATGATCTAGTACACCTAATAAAATCGTTCAATCTAGATATTTGTATTTCAGACTACACACGGGTCACTAAAGATAAAGCAAGTTGTATAGATAATATACTTACCAGTATAAATGATGTGAGTCGGGCATTATAGATCCCTGTTTGTCAGACCACAAAGGTCAATTTATTAACATAAAAACTAACAAAAAAATTGAGTCAAATCCAATATGGAGGAGATGTATCACAAAAAACAACATGAAAAAATTTTTAAAAGATCTAAAAAAATTGACTGGAGTATTTTTGACAATCCAGATAGCTTAGTCGAGCATCTGTCTGAATTTCTGGTAAAAACATATACGAATTTAATTGATAAACACTTCCCATTGAAAAAATGTTTAAAAAAAACTAAACCACCTGTTAATTGGTTTAACAATTCTTTAAAAAAAATGAGAGACACTCTTTCATGTTTAAAATTAATTTCTGAGGTTCTTGAAGATACTGCAGCTTACAATGAGTTTAAAAAAGCGTATTGTTTGTCTGTTAAAAATTCAAAAATAAATGCATATAATGATTTTATTCATAACTCAAGTAATAAACCATAGATTGTTGGAAGTTAATAAACTATGAGAGAAATAAAGTTAAGAAATCTAATATAGACAAAGTAATATCTCCCGATATGTTTAACAATTTTTTTGCTAAAGCTGCAGAAAACATTATAAAAACTTTGCCAGAAACTGAGCACAGTGCTGGAGATTTACTCAAAGATACTCCCGTCAAAAAAAATCCAAAATCGTTTTTTATGGCACCAGTTACAGCAACCGAGGTCAAAAAAACGATAAAAAATTTAAAGAATTCTGGTAGTACAGACATTTATAACTTAAACAGTAAATTACTGAAAGAAACAGCTGATATAATAACAAATCCACTTGTACAAATATTTAAATGTATTTCAGAAGGTACCTACCTTCCCTGATCAATTTAAAATCTCAAAAATTACACCGATTTTCAAAAAAGGTGACAAAAACTTGGTTGATAACTACCGACCTATATCCATCATACCCATATTCGGAAAGGTATTTGAGATTCTTATAAAAAATAGACTATACACAGGTATTTAGAACTTAATAAAGTTTTTGATAATCGTCAGTTTGGCTTCCGTAAGGACCACTCAACAACAAGTGCCGTTTTTAAAGTGGTCAGCCATATACTGGAGGGCCTTGAGAGGGGAGAGTATGTCACAATTACACTGCTCGACCTTAGCAAGGCCTTCGATTGTGTTTCGCATTCTGTTCTTCTGGAGAAGATGGGTTTTTACGGTATTATGGGCCAGCCACTATCTCTGTTTCGATCATACCTTTTAGGCAGATACCAGTGCGTCAATTTAGATAATAATCTTTCAAATATGCAACCTGTAACGCATGGGGTGCCTCAGGGCTCCGTCTTGGGGCCCCTACTTTTTATTCTTTATATTAATGACTTATTTAAATATATGTCACCAAAAAACTGTTATGCATTTGCTGATGGCACAACAATTATAGATAGCCATAAAACTTTGAATCATCTTCAACAACAAAATACAGATAGTGAGAAAAAAGCAGAGAACTGGTTTGCCTCTAATGCCTTAAAAATGAATTTAGAAAAAACCCAGAGACTCGTCTTCTCCACGAGGAGTGCGGGGCACAATGAAAGTGTTAAGTTGCTGGGTGTTGTGCTCGATAATAAATTAAATTGGTCTTGCCATGTGCAACAACTGTGCAAAAAGCTGGCCACAGTTGTTTTTGTCTTGAGACAGATAAAAAGATCAATATCCTTTGATGCTTTAAAATCAAGTTACTTTGCTTTATTCCACTCCCATATTAACTATGGTGTTGTACTGTGGGGAAACTCTCCACTTGCTATTAAAGCATTTAAAATGCAGAAAAGAGCTGTAAGAATTTTAAGCAATGCAGGCTACCATGAGAGCTGTCAACCTATTTTTATTAAACTGGGCATAATGCCCTTACCCACCCTTTATATATACTTCACATTACTTAAAATTCATAAAGAAAAACACCTCCTTACTCGTGGAGAGGATCTGCACAATTACAATACCAGGGGTAGGAAAAACTTTAGAATTCCAAGATACACCCTTGCCAGGGTCTCGGGGAATTCTCAGAATCTCCGTCTATACAATGTATTGCCACAGGCTTTCAGAACATTGAATTATGACAAATTTAAATCAATAATCAAAAAAATTCTTTTAGCTTATTGTTTTTATTCTGTGGATGAGTACCTAGTAAAAACTTCCCTCATTGATTTTTATGCAACTTTTTCACATTCTTTTAAATAACTTATTGTTTGTGTTAAATGTAGATTTAATTTGTGTTAAATGTAGATTTTTTATTTATTTTATTTATACTGTGATATTCTATATTTTAAACGACTTGCCAAAAATGTATTCATAAGTTGGTCAAATAAATGAATTTGATACAGATACAGATACATGTGAGATCTTATTTTTGAAATTTTTTTATATTTGGAAAACTATTCAATGTATCAAACTCAAAATTTGTACACAATAGTTTTTAAGGACGAGAAATACAAATTTGTCATATTTTTTATGCTACTTAAGTAGAAGAATTCTAGAGGGCGCTAATGACACATTTCGAAAAAAGTAAGTACTGTATCTTGTTTATTATTAACATTTTACTAAGACATATTGGTGTTAATCGACCTATTTTGACCTTCTATTTTTAATACTTATTAATTCACCCAATTCGACATGTGTCATTAGCGCCCTCTAGGAGTAGCATAAAAAATTATGACATTTCTGGTCCTTATTATTAATATCTTATTTTCTTCTATTGAGAAGTTTGTTGTTTTTAAGTTGTCAATTTATAGTCTAAAAAATAAATTACTATTACATAAAAAACACAATTTGTACTATAAATTTACTGGTTTATATTTTTTTTTTACAAAAGAAATAACAGACATGACACACAAATTTGCTATTATTTTGCCATTTTTTTTTATTTTTCCAATATAAAATATTCGACAAATTAATTTTAAGTCTAGTTTTCAAAAAATGTAAGGTGTTGCAAGCCGTTGAGCCAACAAAAATAAATTCTGCCCAATGTCCATAAACATTTAAAATAAAATGTCAATCCCTTATAAATGGCGTTTTTTCGCGACTATTTGCCTCGTCTTAATTTCCACCAATTACAAACGCGCAATTTTGAATTACAAATGGTTTCTAGGTGAAAAAACTGTGTGACAGCACCTGTCAGCAGTTTATTCGAGTTTACCCGCGGCAAAACTTGACAGCTGTTGTCACCAAAAATTGCAATTTATATTTTAATTGTTAACTGTTACTCATGAAATAGTCTTGTCAAATACCATTCGGGCATCTAATTTTTCCTGTGAAAAAAATCGAAAAAACACAATGCTAAGTAATATTTTTTAACAAAATGCATTCGTGCAGGTGCAAAAATCCTCCTCTTCGACTTGGATTTTTGTTGCCACCAGCACTCATGCTTTTTGTTAAAATATTACTTAGCAACGTGTTGTTTCGATTCTTTTCGGAAAAATTAAATGCCCTTATGATATTACTTACGATAAATTAGTTAAGTTTGTGACCTATGCTGTGAATGAATTTTAGCAAGTTTTTCTTTGCAGGTGGATAAGGTTGAACTGCCAGGCAGAACATTCCTAAGCGTTCCAGGCTACGACGAAAAGGTCGAGTTCGGCGTTTTGGTGCACTTCGCCTATCAAGTAATTGGTTCCGATGAAAAGTTGATCGTCGCCACCACTCGTGTGGAGACGATGTTGGGCGACACCGCCGTCGCCGTGCACCCGAACGACGAGCGCTACAAACATCTGCACGGAAAGTTCGTATCCCATCCGTTCTGCGACCGGAAAATCCCGATCGTAGTCGATGACTTCGTCGAGCTCGGATTCGGTACCGGCGCGGTGAAAATCACCCCAGCGCACGATCCTAACGATTACGAGGTGGGAAAGAGACACGACTTGCCTTTTATCACGATCTTCAACGATGAAGGCATTATTATTGGAGACTATGGCAAATTTACGGTAAGCATTTATTTCGTTAAAAAATGGCAGATACCCTTTTTTTATTTTTTATTAAAATTAACGTTTTTATTCATAATAATAATAATAAGTAAGTTTTCTAAATTTAATTTTACTTGGTCATGACCTAAATCAATTGTTTATACGCTAAATAAGTATCGCTAGTAGCGCCACCACGCTGTTAACATCGTAACAAAAGTATAACTTTTGATAATCAGCTGTCAAACGCGTGTGTTACAAACGAGTGTTTTAAGAATAAAGCCAGAAAATGTTAAAAAATATCTGAAAAAAAACCGTGGCACGATTTGTTGTGTTGTTGGGTGTATTTTAAGAGGAAATCCTGGGTTGAGTTTTTATCGGTTTTCCAATAAACAGTGTTAATCCGAATGAAGAAATAAATTTCATACAGTCCCTGTAAATATAAATACATTTGTGTCTATTAGATACAATAAATACATATTTTAGTAATGATTGACGTTAAAAGTGTAAACATTTCAATTCAGTCTAACAAATAAGTCGTCTAAATTTAAACAGCATTATTAAAAGCGTTGATTAAGAATTTTTTAAAGTCTCGTAGGTATATTTTGTTGTTTAAAATGCAGTTGTCGGCGTTTTTTAGAGAACTCAAATTTAAAAATGGTTGATTTTAAGGTTATGTTTGTGCAAAAATTATTTTTTACTAATCTCTTAAAAATCTCCAAACTTAAATATAAATTATATTAGGTAAAGTTATCATTAGTTAATTCTGCACCAACAAATGTACTTACCGAATTGGATCCTTTGGCAAAACATGAAAATGCAACGATTTAGTTCTAATTTTATTTACAATTAAAAACACAATAATTAACCATGTTACCTTAGATAAATTACACACACTAACGTAACTATATAAGAATTTAAGGGTTGAGTTTCTTAATTAATGATATAAAGAATAATCAATCGAAATCGAGTACTAAACCAGTTTTTTAGTTTTTTCCTGCGCGATTTAGCTGTGCAATTGAACAAAATTTGTCGAGTAAGACTTCTGCCTTCCTCTCTTTTGTGAAAAAACTAACTATTTATTTAAAAATGATGTACAGTTCATGCTTTAAATGTATTGTTGACAATTCTTAAATTCACGCAATGCTATTGAAGTCCACCAGATGGCGCGCGCGTTGCGAAAACCCGATACTTCTTTAGCGTATAACCTAAAAATAATTTCAAAACAAAAATCTTCTGTAACGAGCTGAAGGCGAGTTTGACGGTTCAGGAGAGCGGAATATGCAATTCCAAATATGTTCCACACTACACTACGTTTCCAAAAAATACCATAATTTAATTGGGACAAAGTAAAGTTGGATCGGTCTAAAAGTTGTTTATTCCGTCATCCGGTGATAAAAATAAATTCATTCATTTAATTCCACATTAAAAAGTCATATTAGAACGTTCATTTTCCGTAATAGGAGTAGAATAGTATATTTTGTAACAAGTTCGGAATACGGCATATCCCGCTCGAGTAAAAAGCTTCTCGCACGAGCCGAAGGCGAGTTTAACGGTTTCACTAGAGCGGACAATTAAATTCCAAATGACATTCAGACTATAGTTTTTCTACGCTTTCAAAAAATACCTTAATTTAATTGGGAGAAAGTGAGGTTGGATCTGTTCTAAATTCATAATAATAATAATAATAATAATAATTAAACAGTGTTTACTCTGTCATCCAAAAGAATAATTCATTCTGTAATACTTTCAGGAATATGTATATCATTCCACATTAAAAAGTAAAGTAATATTCAATAATTAAGGAATATGAATGTTCTAACATCACTTTTTAATGTGGAATTACATATATTCCTAAAAGTGTTACAGAGTGAAATATTATAATTTTTAACATAACCAAGCTTATTCTTTACCGCAATTTCGATGAATTTTACATTAATTAATATACTGTTGTAATTATCATAATAAAATTATGATAAGTAAGTATAATAAAATGAATATTAATTAATATTGTTTTTAGCATTATATTACATTTCCACTAATCTTACAAAATCCTTCAAAATATATTATTTTAAGAAACAATTTATAAATTTACCATGTAGGTACTTTGTTTATTACAATATATTTATATTACAATAAAGTTTTAATATTTTATATTATTTATTTTATTCAAATTATATTAATAATTATAATGTGTGTATCAATATAAGTATACCTTTAACTCTATCTAATCTATAAATCAGCATCAAAGCAAAAAATCTAAATTCGTTTTGGATTTTTATTTTAGTATGTATTAGTAATAAAAATAGTATAATTATAAGGTGATAGGTACCTTAAAGGTATAAATATTTTCAATACTAATATTATAATAATAAATGATTTCTTAAAAAATTTAGCTATTTTTTAAGAATTTTGTAAGATTGTTGGAAAAGTATATAAATATATATAAAGGGTGGGCCATCTATAAGTTGAATTTTAAACTACGTGCTATTAATGAAGCTTTCAACTTAAGCGCCATGAATTGTTGACAGTGGTTTAGTTTGAACCTTCCGATTACAAAATATGCACCGAATAAATTTGGATCAACGTTTCAAAATACTCAAAACTTACTTTGAATGTGACTGTGATCGCAGAGACGGCAAGAAAATTGAATTGAAAGAAATGAGGCGCCGTCAAACCAAAGTATTACAAATTTGATCAAAACATTGCGCAGAAATGGAATGCTGGTGGACATAAAACATGTTTCGTATGCTCGTTCTAGACGTACACCTGAAGCAATCGCTGCTGTGGCCGAAAATATACGCATGAACGCGTCAACATCAACTCGGCGCAGATGTCAGTGACATCATGTCAGATGTCAGTGAGTTGTTCAGGAGTTAAAGCAAGTTGACCATCCACAACGTGTCCGCTTTGCTGAGTGGGCTTTAAACCAGTTGAACGATGACCCTAATTTTGCAAGAAAAATCATCTTTTCGGATAAGGCGCATTTTTACCTCGGAGGTTATATAAACAAGCAAAACTGTAGGATTTGGGCCACGGAAAATCCACACGTCGCCGTAACAAAGCCTATTCACCAAAACAAAACATTCAAGCTTAAATTGCCTAAATAGAGCAGCAAACTTTTGACAAAGTGCTCGAAAATTGGTGTTCCATGATGGTCTACTGTCGAGCCAGCTGATGTGGCCACTTAAATAAAATCATTTTCCATACTTATTCGGAAGAAACATTGTATCAAATAAAGCAAAATTCATTGAAAAAAAATCAGTTTTTCTTGTTCTCATTGCTATTTTATAATTCAACATAAACATGGCCCACCCTTTATATTGCTAAAACAATATTAATTAATATTAATATTCATTTTATTGTACTTTCTTAACATAATTACAATAAAAGTTTATTAATTAATGTAAAATTCATTTCAATTTAAAAATCTTTCCTTTCGCGGTGAATAAGCTTGGTTATGTTTGTTTATGTATCAAACTCATGGAGCCTACACAAGGTGTCAGATTCCTAAAATAAGAAGGCGCTGGTGTTCCGTTGAGTGTTTGGTTTGTACCGAAACAGCACCAAAAGAGCGGACGTCACTGGTGGTGAAAAAAAACCTAATTTGTGCCATTTATTGGGCAGGTTTTGTAAATTTTCCCTATTAAGTTCGTACTCCTTTTGTAGGCTTCTTGGTCAGACTGAGTTGAGAGTCGTAAGTTTTGAAGCTAAATTTAAGCGTCTAATTTTGGAGCGTCTAAAGTATATCACACTCATAAGTCTATACAGGGTGGTCCGGGTTAAACGTTATTACATTTAAGAATCTATTATTTCTATTTCTATTCTCGGTGTACCATAATATGGAATATAAAAATATAGAAGTATTAGATATAATCAGAGCTGTGCGGTACTCGAGTACAAGTACTCAAACACTGTACTCCAAGTACTTTCAGTGTACTCCGTACTCAGTCCCGAGTACTTAAATTTTGATGTACTTATACTTGTACTTGATACATTTAAGATTGCAAAAATGCACTCGAGTACACGGGAAAGTACTCGAGTAAATTTTTGCAATCTTAAATGTATCAAGTACAAGTATAAGTACATCCAAGTACTCGGGACTTTTACTTGTACTCGAGTACATCCAAAGTATGCAATGAGTACATTTTTATGCGGTGAGGTTGGCGTGGACACATATGTGCAAATATGTGCGTGAGTGTTAAAAATTTGGCAGCCTCAGCCAGCCTGCCTCACACGACAGCCTTAAGACAGCCTCAATCAATAAATAAAAAGACACAGGAAAGAGCATTGAACAAAAGGCTTTTACTTATGTATGAAATGTAATTTTGTTTATATTTTGGTAGAAATAAGGTGACAATATTCCCCAAAAAGATAATTAAAAAATAAAGCTAAGGCAAAGTAAAACAAGATACCAGCCGACCTTGATAATTAACATAAAGCGAAATATCAATATTTGATAAAGGCCGGCTAGTGTTTAGTTTTGCACTAGTGATTCTAAATTCATTTTTTAATCGCCCCATTTCTCTAGCATTTTTCCCAACATTTTATGTTAACTAAAGTGTACTCGGTACTTTGTACTCATATGGGTACTCGAGTACAACGGTACTGTACTTGTACTTGGTACTCAAGTACTTTTATATAAGAGTACTTGTATTCAGTACTCGAGTACTTTTTCATTGTACTCGGAACAGCTCTGGATATAATATATCCAATACTTTCAAAATACTTCTATAATGCTGGCGCCTGAAAGTGTCACAGACTGAGTGATATAGCAAAGGCTGCTTTTATCTCTTTTGCCATGGAGCCTACACAAGGAGCCAGAACTTAATAGGGAAAATTGACAAAATCTGTCCACTAAATTGCACAATTTAAGTCTTTTTTTTTCACCACCAGCGGCGCTGCTTGTTGATGCGTCCGAATGACGTGAATATAGTATCGAAAATACATGACATGTGTCATGTGTCTATGTTGTGAAGTAAGCAAGTAAGTTTTGACAATTGATTTGCAATAATGTTTTGATGTACGAATCGTTTTGTTTTTTATGGCTGTACGTTAGCAATAGGCCGAGAAGCGATACATAAGATGGAATCTACCTCACCTTTTAAATAAATGTTGTACCCCAACTCAAGCGAGATATATCTAAAATGTGCTTAAACTGTTGAGTGATCGCTAAAACTGTACAAAAAATGTGCTATAAAAAGGTGTAATATAAGCGTCATAAATGAAAAATATTAAAGTGTGTATAAAATGTGACATACGTAAGTTAGACTGAAGCTTTGCAAAATGTCTTTAAACAATGTACTAAAACTGTGTTATCTATGGTGCAAACAATGTGCTAAAATATAATGTAATATAAGCGTGACATATGACAAATAAAAAGTAAGAGTAAAAAACTTAATTATTTCAAAAAGTGTGAAATTACCACAAAGTAGCGTGTATGCACATTGTTATAAAGACTTGCACTCCAAATAAACACTTATTGCACACTTTTCATGCACGCTTTATTTTCGCCAGGGTAATTATTCCATCCATTTCTGGACCTAAAAATGTTTGGATGTTAACAACCTCCAATGGTGTCAGCACTGTCAGTGCTGCAAGCCGAGAGGTCATGGGTTTGATATATTTTAAATATTTTATAGTATTTGCAAAACTTTTGTTAAACTTAAATAAAAAAGTATGTAGAAAACGAGTAAACAGCATATTTAATAATTTCTACCTTTATTTGTTTATATTGAACTTTTATTTAAGCCATCTACCTATAAAACTAAAAATAAATACCATATGGATTTAATATTCTGTTCGTTTTACACGATTTAACATCACACGACATTCTATTATAGAAAAAAACACGTATTTATAAAAAAAAACTGTGCTCTACATCAGAAAGTCCAACATGAATTCCAATGTTAAATTTGATATTAATTTATTGTAAATTAAGACCTTTATACACAAAACCAGGTACATGGGTACATTGTTTTCAGAAAGTGATAAACTGACAGTTGCATAACCTCAATTATTTGCACAATAATAAGTGGTAGGTAGTGGCGCCATCTCTGGTTACACCCCTCTACTGTTTTGGACCGGTAGTACACCAGCGCCTTCTTATCTAAGGAAGATTCTTGTTTACATGAAGTTCGGGCTCCTTGTGTAGGCTCCATGTCTTTTGCCTTTAAAATATAATTCCAAATATGTAAATAATCTTTAATAATTTTAAATTTGGTGTCTAATATTAAACACAGCAAACTCCATATCTTTCATTCGAAAATTCCATCACGTTTATAAAAAAATTGTGAAAATACTAGTTAAACCGATTGAGTAAAAATATCATACCTCAATTAAGGCCCATATTATTAAGTACATTTCTTTTTTTAGGAAAATACCTCGGGAAATACTTTAATATCGTATTTTTTCATTTCTGAAAATGTCAAATGGAGTTTGCTGGGTTTGATATTACACCCCTGGAATAGAAGCAAACTGTTTTTATAGAGATTTTAATTAGGCAACGCTTTTTACTGTGCAATTTTTTTATGTAAAATTAGTTTTACATTTCTAACCAAGCACTAGAAAACTATCACATATAAATTATTTTTTAAGGCATAATATGCAATATTATGGTTTAAATATTATATTTATTTTCTTAGGGTATGAAAAGATTCCACGCCAGGAAAGAAATCGTAGCCGCTCTCAAAGAGAAAAACCTCTACATCGAAACGAAAAATAATCCTATGGTGGTGCCGATTTGCAGCCGAAGCAAAGACGTCGTTGAGCCGATGTTGAAGCCGCAGTGGTATGTGAAATGCGACGATATGGCGGCCAAGGCTGTAAAAGCCGTCAACGACGGCGATCTGAAAATCATTCCGGAAATGCACGTTAAAACTTGGCATCACTGGATGGACGGCATTCGAGATTGGTGTATTTCCAGGCAATTGTGGTGGGGACACAGGATTCCTGCTTATTTGGTGACTGTCAAGGGAAAACCAGCACCAGAGGTAAATTTAATTTTTATTTTGTTTACTTGGTTTAAAATGTATTTGTCTTAAAGCTTAATGAGGAAGAATTGTTGGTAAGTAGTTCTTAATTAGTTTTGCTAATATTGTTACATTTGCATGTAATGTATTTTTTTACAAGCAACCTCCTCAAGAAATTTTGGTATGTAATAAAGTATGATAAAACCGTCAAAACATATTTAAAAGAAAATAAGGGGCATTTGAAGCGCGCGAAGGCAAGAATGACAACTTGTAGGTTATTTATTATATAATATTTTGGTATCAAAATTCCCAAAAATATTCTTGTTTTATAATGCTGTGCAATAAATAAAAGAAACGCAAGAAATAAGTAAAAATAATTTTAATAATGGACAGTTGTAGATGGGACAAAAAAAGATTTCTCTTGTTCCGTCCACAACTGTCCAGAATTGAAATTATCTCTACTTTTATAAAATATTTGCTGCGTTTTTTTTTATTTAAAGTACCTATAGCCTAATAAAAAAAGAATATTTTTTAAAATTTTGATCCAAAAATAGTGAGTGAGTATGAGTTAATAACGTATGGCAGGTCCCATCGGCAACGCCTTAGACTGACCTTCCAGGGTTATTTTAACCCCTTTCGGTTCTCCTGCCACTGCACAGCGTTACCTGTGTTTGGTGGATCCAAATTTTTACCCCTGCAGGTAATCTTCCAAGGATGGACAACATTTTGGTTTTTGGGGGCATTGAAACTAAGTACAATCCGGACTCCCCCTCAACCAGGGTTTTAGTAATAACCCTATTCAATTGGGATTCATGAATGAGGCTTGGTTTATTAGTACATTGCTTGGACATCCTTGTATTACGTCCGGGTCTCCGTCCGGGTCTGCTTTAATTCGGAATCTGCTGCACGCAGTTGTTTGCCCCACTGTGCAATCCATATTTTCGCTCTCGAGGATTATCAATAGATAGACATTGATCGGCATTGTGATTGCCGGTTGATAGTTCTTATTCTAAAGTATAAAAATTTATAATTTTATGTATGCTTTTCTTTGTCCACGTTATGTGGTTGAAATTGTGTTCCGTTCTTTTCTTTTCTAACAATTATCGTGCTGTTTTGTTCCTAGTTTTGTACCCTTAACCCATTTGTGAGTGGTCCTTTAAGTACGCCTTTGTATTCTGTTCATTTTCCATCGGGTGTTGTTTTTACTTTCTTAGAATAAATTACTCACAATTGAATCGTTATAGGTTATTTGACTCATTGTTCCAGCGGAAAGGCAGTCGTTAATGATTAGACAAATTTACCAAATGCAACAGTCATTAGTGAATTTGGTTTAAAAAGTTTTAATTTAATTTAATAGATTTTTTGTTTACTCACAGAAGCACTCGCTGGTGACTACTTTAACTATTTAAGTAGTAGAATTGCTATTTATTGAAAACGACTATACGTTGTTTTCGTGTTGTGGTAGAAATTGTGTTTAGGTTTTCATTTCTTATTTCACAATCAGAAGTTGCAATTTTATTTATTTTATAGTGCTTCTAACATTGTTTATTTTTTTTAACTCGAGATGGTCTCGCAGTTTGTTTATTTAAGGCAAAATTAGAAAATGATTTGCTTACTTACTTAAGATGTATGTGTTTATTAAGTACTACTTGTCACGTCCTATACGGCGGAGAGTACCCAATTGTAAGTCGAACTTGCTTTACTTTCAAGTCAAACTAGCCTATGCATTCGGTATCTTTGGTCTATTTAATGTAGGGTCGTTAACCCTGTTCAACTCTTTTAATGTTCTTGTTGATTTCTACGGATTTAACGTGGAAAGGTATAAACACACCCGTAGGCTCGGTGAATTCGTACTTGCGCGTTTTAAGTATAGCGAATAGCGAAGTGCAAATATTAAAATACTTATCTGAATTTCGCAGATGGCTCCTTGTCCCCTCGTAATTGGTCTCTTCCAGGTTACTGCCGCTATGAACCACATGTTCAGATGGGTGGTTCCGTGGGGTGGCAATTCACTTCGCACTTTTAACCTTTTAGATATTTTGGTTTTAAAATGCACTGAGTATACTTGTTTATAGTTCGGATCGAAAAGACAAGCACGTCTCACCCAAAAATAATATATAATAAATTATCTACAATTATTTTTATAAAAACAGTTTTGTGAATTCGTTTATTAACGTTTTTGTGTTTTGTTTAACTTTAACTAATTATTTATAAATGAAAAATACTAAAAATAATTGGAAAGAATCCATGTAAGGGGCCGTTTACATATTACGTCACGCGACCTCTTTCTACCCCCCTTTCTTGGTCCTTAGACGATGTCACAAAACGTACCACCCCCAGCCCCGTAGTGTCGTCACAAAATTTTATCCGAAAATTTGAATAAATTTTGAATAAGTATTTGTATCTAACTTATCGTCACGTAGCTAATGACCCCCCTCACTCTCGTCACACTTAACAAATCGTCCGACCCCCCTTGACGTAATATGTAACAGTCCCTTAAGTTAGGTTTATTTTATTTTCAGAAAGAAGATTGGGTTGCTGCGCGTACCTACGAAGAAGCTTTAGAGAAAGCCTCAAAAAAATACAATGTTTCTCCTCAAGACATCGAATTAAAACAAGATGAGGACGTTCTCGATACGTGGTTTTCTTCCGCCTTATTTCCGTTCTCGATTTTCGGTTGGCCGGAACAAACCGACGACATTCAGGCATTCTATCCGACTTCCTTATTGGAAACCGGACACGATATTTTGTTCTTCTGGGTGGCCAGAATGGTGTTCTTTGGACAGAAGCTTTTGGGAAAATTGCCTTTCAAGTAAGAATAATAATTAATCTAATTTATATTTTGAACAAGGATTTATAGTGAATTAGAATTTGAGTTTTAGCCAAAAATGTTGAAAATACGATTAGATTCTAGTTACCAATCGGTTTTAGTGATTTGCTTTTTATTATCTTTAACTTAAAATTTTAAAAGATTATATAAAGATTAAGTTGACATTCTCAAGACATTTATATCTAGCTTAAGTTTGCATAGTTGCACACTTATTTTCAGTTTAAGTTCATATTGCAATGCATTTTCAAGAAAGTTATATTCAGTTTAGCTGACAGTTATATCTAGCTTAAGGGTTATTTATATTGTAAGGATGTTTTAGTTAATTTTTTTCTTTATAAGTTATATTTAGCTTATAAGCTAATAAGTAAATTGTGTCTCACAAAGTCTAAAAAACTCCACATGTGCATTTTAATTAAATTTATATAATACGATTTTAAATATCTCTAAATGGTACAAAAATCACCTAGGTATATGTAAAAAGTATTTTTAACAGTTTAATTGCCATATGAGTCCAGCGTGGTTTCACGCTAGTTTTGTCAAGGGAGCCACGGAGATTTAAAATTTTTGTAAAATTTGATTGTCTGAAAAAAAAAATCCGGATAAATAGTAAAAAACGGACATTTCGGGAAAAAAAATCGTTTGTTAAAAAAGGTTGACACTTTTTTATTGATTACGTTGTAAAAACGTCACGTTTACCTTAGTCGGTGCGCGAATGTGGTGTATGTATTAACAAATCTCAATTTTGTGCATAAATAAATTACAAATAAAAAATACGAACATAACCAAATTCTTGTAGAGTTGTAATCTTTTTACTTGTTATAAAACCATTAACAGCGTATTTTAGTGTAAAGTTTTTAAAATTTAATATTTGCAATCCTTGGAAAAATCAATTTAGTAATTCTTTTTAAGAGAAGGATGAGCACTTTTAAATGCTCATAAATGCGCGAAAACTCAAACTAAATTTAATAATAAGTAAATTGATTTTTTAATGTCGGAAAAACGGGATTATAACAACCAACAAATTATTATTATACATTATCTTACAGGCGGAGAAAGCGCTTAGATCTGCAGCTTTGGCTAAGGCCTCGGCAGCGAACACTGAGCTCGGCAGTTAATTTGCTTTTTCTTCATACCTTGTTCAAAAGTACTTACTTTCGTCCCTAATAGCAAGGACGAAAGTTTAACATTTACCTCGACATTTACTTCCTGTGCTATTAGGGATAAAAGTACGTACTTTCGACCTATGTATGAAGAAAAATAGTATACATCACACGGGCCAAACGTTGAAATCTCGGCCCTTGTAGTGTAATATACTATTTCCGCCGTGTTGTATATACTATTTTTTCCCAAGGGTTTAATTCATGAAGCCTACACAAGGAGTCCGAACTTCATGTAAACAAGAATCTTTCTAAGATAAGAGGGCGCTGGTGTTCCTTTTATTCTGAAACAATTGACTAATTTGTACCGAAACGCTACCAAAGGAGCAGACGTCAGTACGCATCGACAATCAGCGCCGCTGGTGGTGAAAAAATAATACTTAATTTGTGCAGCTTAGAGGGCAGGTTTTGTTCATTTCCCCTATTAAGTTCGGGCTCCTTGTGTAGGCTCCATGGTTTAATTATTCTGTACTTACATTGAAATTATCGAGTTTGCAACATTTTTTCAGGTTTGATATTTGACATGTTATATTATAGGTTAAGTACATTAATCACTACTAAAATGTTTATTTATTGTATCTAATAGGTACAATTTATATTTACTGAGACTGTATGCAATTTCTTTCTTCATTCAGATTAAAACTGTTTATTGGAAAACCGGCAAAAACTTAACCCAGGATTTCCTCTCGAAATACACCCAACAACACAACAAATCGTGCCACGGTTTTTGTTTGTAACATACGCGTTTGACAGCTGATTATTAAAAGTTGTAGTTTTGTCACGATGATAACAGCCGAGTGGTGGCGCTGCTAGCGATACTTCTTTAGCGTATAGGCTTATTAATGTTATAATATGAAAATTGTTATATGCTTGAAACATTTTTTTTCTTTTTTACATCCAATATCCAAACTCGAAAAATAAATAAATGCTTGAGAATTTATGATTTCTGAACATCTCTATTTTTTTAAATTAAATCTAAATAAACGACACTGCAAAAATATATTTATAACTATATTTATATAATTTTTATTTATATATTACAGTATATTAATATATTTTCAGGTTTCTGGTTTTTATTTAATAATTTTTCCATTTTTCTCTTTTTCCGATTTTTTCAAGGGTTTTTTAATTGAATCTTTTATTGCCCAAGAGATTTAGCCTTGCACAGAGCAATTATAATGTAAAAAATGCAAATTTAATAAATCAACCAATTAAGATTTTATTAATACGCAACTATATTACTATATTACTTAAAATTAGTTTATAATCATTTTATAGCGCGTTTTACACAACAACAATATTAAATTACAATTACCTTCACTTATTAAATATTTTTAGAAAAAGTTTTTAAATTCTTCATTGCTTTTTCTTAATTTTCAGAGAGGTATACTTGCACCCCATCATCAGAGATGCGCACGGTCGCAAAATGAGTAAATCGCTCGGCAACGTGATTGATCCAATGGACGTGATTACTGGTATAAGCCTAGAAAACCTTCATTTACAGCTGCTAGATAGCAATCTGGATCCCAAGGAAATCGACAAGGCGAAAGCCGGCCAAAAACAAGACTACCCGGAGGGTATACCGGAGTGCGGTACCGACGCCTTAAGATTCGCGCTGTGCGCTATGTGTTCCGGCAGAGACATCAACTTGGACATTTTGCGTGTTCAAGGCTACAGATTTTTCTGCAACAAAATTTGGAACGCGACCAGATTCGCTTTGACTTACTTCACCAGCGATTTTCAGGCTCCAGTCGATAGCAAACTGATTGGTAACGAGTCTTTGATGGACCTTTGGATGTTGAGCAGAGTTGCGTCTGCTGTGACCGATTCCAATAAAGGTTTCAACGTCTATGATTTTACACTGACCACCACTGCTATCTACAACTTGTGGCTTTATGAGCTATGTGATGTTTATTTGGTAAGTTTAATTATTTTATCTTAAAGGTTATGTGCATTTAGAGTTAAACTATTTGGATACAGGGCCACTTTATTTTAATAATCACTTGGTAGAGATTTAAAATGGATTGCCCGAAAAAAACCCGGAAAAATTAATCTTTCAGCCATTTTGCCACAGGGTGGCCAACAATACAATTTCAAAAATAACCATAATTTTGCTCAATTAGCCTTTGTTTTCGAGATATTGTAAAAAGCCGTTTTTATTCTATATGCAAACATTTAAATTCACATATATATATTTTTTAATCAAATACTTTAACCAAGGATCATTGTTCATGAAACTATAATTCCTAATTTAACTTAAAAAATAAATTATACACATTTATTAAGTTGGTCCTTAAAAAAAACTGCTTTTAGCAAAATAAAACTGATTTTTTTTGTAAAAATTAAACATTTTTATTTTATTTTATTTTTATTTATTTATTTATTTTACACTATAGCTAGCAAAACAGTTCTTCAGAATTGGTACCACTAAGTCTATGTCTTTTAATAACCGCTCCGTTTTTTATGCTTAGGTCAAGTTCATTTTTGGTATTAAAGTCAACTACATCCAAGTTGATTTGTCCTCTTACATACCTAATTAAAATGAGTATAAGTTAAAAGTTAAGCTGCATTCGTAATGACACTTTGACACGCAAGTCGGTACGAATTTAACTGTCATGTTCTTTGTGAGGTTAAAATTTGGATTATTTTGTTTTTGTTTACTGCTATTTTTTAATGTGAAAATGGACAACACCATTAAATAGTTCATTTAGTGATACATTTTTATTACAATGTGGTTTAAACTACAAACTACTGTAATCATTTTGTTTTCAGTAAATCACTTTAGTTTATTTTAAAAAAAGCAATAAAAATGTATTTTTCTTACTACTTTGACTGAAAATACGTTGTTTCGTCCCCGATTCCACGGCAGAAAGTTTACGTTTGATGCATTGGTCAAGCTATACGTATTTTCGGCCGAGGTAGTAAGAAAATGTAATTTTCTTTCTACCTCGGCCGAAAATACGTTGTTTCGTCCCCGATTCCACGGCAGAAAGTTTACGTTTGATGCTCGTGCCGCAAATGTCGGGGCAGGCATCAATATGTTTCGATATACACATTTAATTTTTTCCCGTATTTTCGGCCGGGTAGCAAGAAAAATAGTATACACTACACGGGCAGAAAGGAATCTCACACTTTCTGCCCGTGTAGTGTAATATACTATATTCACCATAAAATCATTACCAACAAAAAACTCAACGCCATTAAAAATAATAGAAATCATTGAAAATGTCAAACCAATATCCCATAGCCGGCACAAAAGTCGAAGTTTGCAGCTTGCCCACTTTAACTACCACTTTAACGTCGAATTTTATTGTTAACACTACATTTTCTTAGCTTGCAAACCACTTGGCCAGCTTTACATATTCATTAGGGTGAAGCGGTTTTGTACTACAAAAAAAGAAACTTTATTTTTTTTTGGCTTGGGTGCGCGAACGGTTTTTATATGGGTAATAAAATAGCAAAATTTGGGTTCCCAAATATGACGTCTTCAGGTGCCTAGACAAACAAAAAATGTCATTTTGTCGACAAGTGTTATTATTTACAAATTATTTTTATGAAAAAATTTATTTTGCGACAACTGAAGAATTGGTGTAAATCCCATACAAAATTAATTTAGTTTCCTAAAAATGTTAGGTAATTAAATTGATTTTTTTTAAATTTAGGCTAAAATGTAGCTTAAGAACTTAGTGTTATGTATTAAATAGAAACACTACAGCAGTTGATAATTTTTTTTTTATGTTTTTTTTCTACACCTTTAAATGCACATAAATCTTTAAAAACATAAAATGACAGTTCATCGTTTTTTAGGAATACTTAAAACCAGTTTTCTTTGGTACCGACGAACCAGCAAAAAAAACAGCCCAAGCCACTCTATACAGAGCCCTAGAGGTTGGTTTACGTTTGCTTTCGCCTTTAATGCCCTTCATCACCGAGGAGTTGTACCAGAGGTTGCCACTACCGAAAGTAACTTTGGAAAAAGTCCCCAGTATCTGTGTGGCACCATATCCAGATACTGAAGAATCCCTTTGGAGGGATCAAAACATTGAAAACGAAGTGGAATTTGTTCAAAAGGTCGCAAAAGCCATTAGGTCTGCTAGGAGTGATTATAATTTACCAAACAAGACAAAAACCGAAGGTAAAACAGTATGGTCAACTGTTTAAAATTATTATTGTTTTTTCTATATTTTTAACATCTATTACGTTTTTTAATGTGTTTAAAACTTTTATCTATTTTGCGTTCATAATAACCGCTTTTGGTGCTGTAATGAGATACTTTATCCCACCCAAAATTTTGATTTTATAGGTTTTCTAGTACTTACAAGACTTTTCTGGCAATAAATTTTGTTTGGCACCAAAGAAAATACTTTTTTCTTCTTTAACATTAACAGCCGCTTATTGTAAATAAGTAAATTAAGGACGGCATGGCGAATCTATTTTGACATTAACTTTCAAACCAATGACTGTGATACCAACTATCTGAAGTAAAATTCGACCAAATTAAATTTAAATTAAATTTTGTCGCTCGTTTTATAAATTGTCCGCGTGCGACAAAATGACGTCTTATGACATTAGTTCTTTAATATACTATTTTTTCTAATAAATAAGATGAAATATAGCTTTTAAAATGGGTAAAAAATGCCAACATAAAATCAGTATGACCACATGATTTCTTATACCAAAATTAAGTGCCTCATTGCATAGAATACGGAATTTTCGACTTGCACAGTTTTATTAAAAAGTATTCATGAGTGTGCTTTTTAATAAACTTATTGTTTCAGCCTATCTTCAATCAAGTGATGCTACTACAACAGAAATCCTCAAAAAATATGGTAGTGCCCTTCAAACTTTGGCCTATTGTTCTAAAACTCCAGTAAACGAAAATGCTCCCGAAGGATGTTCAATTATCACTGTGTCAGACAAATGTGACGTTCACTTATTACTTAAAGGTTTAATTGAACCTGCAAAGGAAATAGCAAAAATACAGAAAAAACTCGAGTTCCTCCAAAGCACCAAGAGTAAACTGGATCAGGCTATGAGTGCATCAGATTATGCCTGTAAAGTTCCACAAGAAGTACAACAGTTGAATGTTGAAAAAGTTAATCAAACTACTGTTGAACTGGATAGATTGAATTGTGCACTAGAATCTCTCAAATTAATGGCTTGAAAGTTTTAAAACTAGAAAAATTTTAAACTTGCATTTCTTATTTATTTATAATGTATGGTGGTTGTTGCTATTTATTTTTACTTTATTTAGTTTTTTATAATGGCCTTTCTTACTCAAACCAAAACAATCCCAGTATTATAGATTTTAACAATAAATTATGTGTACTATTTTGTTGTTGCAATATATGAAATGCTGACAAATTGTTTTTTATTTTATCCCTTAATAAGACACAAATACTTCATTTAATAAATTTTATTTTTATTGATGTGCAAATTAACAAAATCAATTTATTTAAAAAAATAACACAATTAAAATTTAAAAATCATTGATATCACAGCTAATTACTATAAGATAATTTCAATTAATTAAAGAACTGACTTTTTTGTTTAGTTTAGGTACTTCTAATCTTGAAAGTTTTAAAACTTTAGAAAAATTTTAAACTTGCATTTCTTATTTATTTATAATGGATGGTGGTTGTTGCTATTTATTTTTACTTTATTTAGTTTTTTATAATGGCCTTTCTTACTCAAACCAAAACAATCCCAGTATTATAGATTTTAACAATAAATTATGTGTACTATTTTGTTGTTGCAATATATGAAATGCTGACAAATTGTTTTTTTATTTTATCCCTTAATAAGACACAATTACTTAATTTAATAAATTTTATTTTTATTGATGTGCAAATTAACAAAATCAATTTATTTAAAAAATAACACAATTAAAATTTAAAAATCATGGATATCACAGCTATTTACTATAAGATAATTTTAATTAATTAAAGAACTGACTTTTTTATTTAGTTTAGGTACTTCTAATCTTACCTAAAAGTATAACAATTAAAATTGTATATTAAAGTTTGTGCTATTTAACAGTTCCATAATATCTATCTTTTTTTAGGTATGTATGTATAAATAAAAATAGAGGACAATCAAAAACAATTAAATATTTAAAATTGGTGTATAAATAAAACTTTAAAATAATTTTGCACATGAATTCTCTCCACAATTCAATTACTTAACTTGATACAAATATAAAATCACGAATTACAGGGGATTAAACAAAAACCCATCTCAAATCATCGTTCACGACTAGGATGTAAAACTTGGAATTCACTGTAGTACCTTTAAATTAATTATCACTTTTGTTATTTCTTACTCGAATTTAGTCCACTGGCTTTGCGAATTTACTTTGTTCACGTTCGACGAGAACGGATCGGAAATGTTAAAAGTGCTGAAGTGCAGACCGTATTCTTTAAGCAAATCCTGATCGTTGCGACTAGACTCGCCTCTCGCGTTATTCGTTTGCTGCTGCTGCTGTTGTTGCTGAAAATGTGGCACATTGCCGTTGCTTAAATTGACGTTCTGATAATTGTATAGCGGGTTCGAGAGCGACATCGGAACCGTACGGTTCCGATCGGACGCGTTCGAGGGCGAACAAAGAGGATCGAAGAGCTCCATATCGGAGGAGGAGGAGTCTAAGCGAATTAGGTCTTCCGTTTCGTCTTCCAACTGCAAGAAAAGCAAATTTTGTTGTCACATTTCGAAAAAGTTTCGTTCTTTTTATTTACAAGGCTAATGGAAAATGCATGCATGCATAAAATGATCGATATCCTGGTTACACAGCGATTTTAGTCTGTTCACTCGATGATAGTCATGCACATAGAATAAAAACGATGTTATGGTTTTTAATTTAAAAACACAGCAAGACTGCAGAAAAACCCTCACCTTCGAAGATTTCATTTTTAAATGTATATTTTTAAACTTGAGAGTGGTCTGTAATTAACAAAATCGATTGTTTAAATAAACAGTGTTTAATATTACTTATTTAAGAATGATAATAGCATGTATGAATTTACAAACCCACCACCAAAAAGTAAGTAAGACAATTCACCACCATATTCCTTAATAAAATTAAAACAATGTTGCGGGTGTATGTAAAGGAGGAAATATGATATTAATTTATTTTAATTCTGTATAAACGTTAAAAGATAATTTTTGTGGTCAAATAGTAAAATGTTATTTAATTGCAAATTTCAGAAATTAAATATAATACCAAATAGTGAAAATTCTGAAATTTTGCAATTTTCCTTTTTATGGAAAGTGGTTAACCAATCAGAGCACGGCATTCTTCACACGCTATGGATATCGATAGAGAATTAAGTGCCCTGATTGCGCAGTAGGATGTGATTTCTATTGAAAATTATTAACCATGGTTAATAATTTTTAATAGAAACCACATCCTAGGAAAAATTAAAGCTTTTTAGCATGGAACGTATATTTATATTCCTTTTTTTAATAAACTAAATTTAAACCAAATTTATGGGTAGGCACTAAATGGCATTTTTTATGCCACAATTTATTTGGGATTTATAATAATAATCATATAAATTTATGTTTTCGGTTGGATATTTCGTAATTTCATATACGCAATGAGTAAAGAGAGAGACGAATGTATCCCAAACATAGCTTGAAACCGTCAAGGCCGGGTACTTCTAGCTCCTAATTGGGTGGAGATTACATTCGTCTCTTACTCGTTGCATATAAAAAATTACTGAATTTCCGACACGGTTTAACAAATAGGTAACAGAAGAGTAGGACCTTTTAAAATTGTCATCGATTTTAAATTAAGTTTATCAATTTTCTATTTACATAAAAAATATCATTTATCAATCATTTTTTTAACATGACAATAAGACAAACAAAGTCTGCCTTACCTCTAGGTTATATTGAACAAAAAATAAAATATGGTCGCAAATTTGCCAAATATTCGCACTAAAAAATGTTTTTATACAATTTATATTTAAACTGTAGTACTCATATACAGTATGTCCACGAATGGGGTTACAAAGAGGAATAAACTATTTTTTCTACGACCACTATGTAAAAGTCACTTTTCATGATGGCATCGTTGCTTAGAAAATGAATCTTTTCATTGGCAAGGCAAAACACGAATGTAAAGTGACATTTCTGTGTGAAAAGTGACAGGTCTGTGTGAAAAGAACCGGAAAGCATCGTTTGACATTTAGCTGTCAAAAAAGTTTTTAGGTTATTTTGTTTTGTATTTAAAAATAATAAAAAATAAAAGGGTCGCAGAAAAAACATTGTGTTATACTTGTGAGAAATGCTTTCTTCAAGCTCGTGTTAATGCACACTCGGCCTAACGGCCTCGTGGGCAACTTAAAAACTCGCATGAAAAAGTCGCTTTTCAACACTTGTAAAACAAATAACTATTACATCTCAAAAAATTTCATTCTTTCAGAATCACACAAACATTATTTTTATTATCCATGGTTAATTTGCAATTTTGATTTTTCTGAAACTTTTGGTAATTTCAGTTCATTTATCATTTCTCAAAAGTAATTGTTTCTATTGAAATGTTGAAAGCTTTTACTTTTTAATTTATCGACAAAAATACATTTTTCATCGTCAATGTATGCACTTTTAAACTTTTTTAAAGTAAAAATTAATGACATCCGTGGATTGCAAATTAATCATAGATAACAAAAATTATGTGTATGCGACAATAAAAATGATGTGTCGAATATACTGGGGGATTAAAACCAAGCAAAAACTTTTATAAACATAAAAAAAAATTAAATATAAAAAAAAAATTTCTCTCTGTAACCCCATTTGTGGACATACTTACTGTAGGTACAAAAAATATTGCAAAAGTTAAATACGTCAACATTATTATTATGTACACTTGCTACTAAAAGTAATAGATTATCGCCTAGGCTGTAAAAAAATCCGTTTGGACCAATCAAAAATTCAATAGATTTGAAGATCCACCTAAACTCACTTTCTTCTTTTATTAATTATTTTTATGCACGATGACATTATAATATGACAATTATAACAAAAATTCTTTGACGTAAACGTCTTTTTATAGCCCGCGGGCGTTATTATGGCCCAGCGGGCTATAATGAAACGTCAAAAATTAAAAACAACAATGTTACACCATTTGATATATTCGAAGTAAGTTTTTTCGTATAAAGATTTTGATTTTACCGGCAGCAGGCCGCAATTTTTCGCCTTTTCAGCTGCTTCCTCAATTTCATTTATCTTTAAACTTTAAAACTGACTGATGTCAGTTGACATTATAATATGACAATTATAACAAAAATTCTTTGACGTAAACGTCTTTAAAAACAATAATATATTAAAAATAATAATATATTAATCGTGCATAAAGTTTTGTATGCATTGCTGGCATAACTGGTTTTTATGGTCCTACGACGCTTTTCTAGCCCTCGCGCTAACGCGCTCGGGCTCGAAATAGCGCCTCGGACCATAAAAACCTTATTATGCCCTTAATACATAAATAACTATTATAATTGTGCGTTTCATGTGTCGTTTAACAAATAAAATTGTGCCTTAAAGATAAAATGTTGTATACCATTCAGCCTAATAAAATAAATCTAACTATAGTTACATTTATTTTATTAGGCTGAATGGTATACAACATGTTATCTTTAAGGCACAATTTTATTTGTTAAACGACACGTAAAACGTACAATTATAAAAATAATTAATAAAAGAAGAAAGTGAGTTTAGGTGGATCTTCATCCTGCATATATGCTTATCTATTGGCAACCAATCTAGATGTTTCTAATAAAATTTATTTTCAATTACAAAAATGTATATGAATTAAGGCTTTTTAGTCAATTTCATATAAATCTAAAAAAACATTTTTTATTGTGTTAATTCTGTAAAAGTTGCATCATATTATTTGTGTATAGTGCCATGACAAGAAACAAAGACTATTTTAAAAGGAACGATTGCTTTGTGAACTACATCTACCAGTTTCTTTTTAAGTTTAATTTGTCGGTACAAAAATCGATTCCGCATGAAACTTTTCTTAGCGAACCTTTAGATATTGCCATGCAGATGTATGAAATAGTGACTGGTCGAATTACCTTCCTCCTGGGTGAACAAGTGGGTGGCGACAGTTTAACAATATCGACCGAATGCTGATTAGCAACATAAAACAGCGGATCTCCATTTTCTGCGTGCCCGCCACCGATAACGAAAGGCTCCGTGCCAAACAGGTCTTTAGGGGGCGGACCCCCCCGCGGGGGCACGGACGGGGGGGACAGGAATACGTCGTCGGGAGACTGAAGTAGGTTCTGGGTCTCTTGGGCGTTCAGGTTTTGGAGAAATAGACGGTTTGGGGGAGATGCCATTGGTGCGCCCGACCTAGCGGGGAACATCCAATGATCAGGACTGGTTATGGGGGAGGAGGTACTTTTGAAGTTTTCTAAACTTCGAACGGGTTTTAGCTGAAAGCGAAACAAGCTTTGTTGAAAATATACAGGTTATGAACAATTTTATGCATTTAAAGTATTTTTTTCTGAACTTGGAAGTAGCACGGTGCGCAAAAAAAGTTTTGAAAAAATTTGAACGAATAGGGATTACCGACCGTGTCCTAAATAAATTTAAAATGGTAATACAACTATTACAACCTTATACTTTTTATCAACAATTATTGCCGAGTAAGTCACGTAGATGTGACGACTGCGTCAGTGAGTGCGTTTATTTAAGAAGTTTTAGGAATCCCATTTAATGAACAATTTTGCCAAGTAATCTTTGCTATATCACGTTTTTCGCGAACCGTGTTTACTCCTTTAAATTTACCTTCTAAGAATATTTTAACTAAATAAAACATAAATTCTGGTATCACGGCTTTAATAAGACGAAAATATAAATAAAATCACATAAATTAAAATTAAACGCAAAATACAACATACCTTAATTTAGATTTTCACACAAGACAGTACATACAACCATACAAAATAAAATTAAAAAATCTCTGCTAAGAATAAGTTAAACATGTGCAATTGAAAGAAGCTCTAAGTAAACTCAAGCGGCGAGGCACAAGTTATTTTTAGATTTGCATTTCATGTAGATATGCACCTATTTTATAAATAGTCTTACTTATTTAAGCTCATCGTGTAAAATTGCTATCTATAAATATATACAAATAATTCCACACTCTTTATTGTTTTACGTATACAACCAGCAATAAAAAAATAATGTATCATTAATTCCGCGTAAAATATCGGATAATATGTACAGTAAACTAAAAAATTAATCACAATCTTTTTAGTATCAAATTCTACTAAAACAGTTATTCATGAACGACAAACAAAAAAAAAAGACAAATTAATATTGCTCATATAAAATCATTGCACATGCCTAAATCTATAGAATGCATCTGGCGCCATGCAAAAATAAAAATAAACGAGCGAAAACTTAAGTGTTCGGACGCCTGAGGCGTGTCCGAATGCGTACGGCAACATTCGCGAAAATTTCACTTACAGATCGATCGACAGGTGGCGTGTTCAGCTTAAAGTAGTCCTTCATTTCGCTCATCAGATCTATCGGCGGTATCACGAGGCTCGGGCTGCCGCTTCGGGAACCGTCGCGCGTGTCCGGAGATACGGGCTGCGACGACAGATACAACGGACTGTACCGGCTTAAAAGAATGTGGGTTTGTTTAGTGAGTTGGGCACAAAATCACTTAAAAATCACTTTAAAAAAAATTAATTAAGTTGGAAACTATTTAAGGAAGTTACATATAGGGAATCATATTCGCTTGTATGTTCGTGGCTTAAGAAATGAGTGGCAATGCATTAGTAAACGAGTATTCCTTCACAAGCTTCCTGACGGGTCAAGGAAAATTTATTGTCATCAATTCACCGCAAGCCATTTACCACCAGCAAGCCATAACAGTTTACCGCCAGTAATTTATCGCAAAAACAATTTAACTCCAACAATTTGCCGCATATTTTACTGTCTAGAAGCAATGTATATTCTGGAAAACGAGATTTCATGAGGGACGAGAGGGGAAATTAATATCGCTATCCTGTTAGTGCAAAATAGAATTAGCCATTTAAATCGATGTTAGGATCAAAAGTTGACAATTTAATTTTGGCGAAATGTCTTATTTTCGGATAAATCCAGAATTGGCCTACAATAAGACGACCGGTGAAATCGTAGTTTAAGACTTCCTTAATAATTGTGATCTTGTGTTAATTTATATTTAATAATAAAAATGGCACCAACCAACGTCATAATTTGCCGATTTCATATAATTGTTACAATAAAACTAAAGTACTGTCTGTCCACTCTTAGTTGGCGGAACTAAGGAATTTTGTAGTTTAGACATTAAAGAATTGTCGTACTGGGTGCTTTTAAAACAGATTTTATATTATAAATAATACTAGTATATAATATATACTAGTATTATTATTAATATAAAATCTCTTTTAAAAGCACACAGTACGACAATTCTTAAATATCCAAACAACAAAACTCCTTAGTTCCGCCAACTTAGAGTGGACAGACAGTATATTCATTTAATTACATATTATATTATATCACTTTATAAGGAAATCTAAAATATTAAATATTTATGCTTTTACTGTATTATTTCGAAATGTAAAATTAAATAAAAAGTTATGGAGACACTTTCCACTGCGACACAAAATAAATAACTAAATAATTTTGGCAATAAACTACAGGCGGTAAATTATTAGCAGTAAATTGTTTCTACGATAAATAAGAAGCTGGCGGTAAACTTTTGGCGAAAAATACATGGCGGCAAATTTCTGGCGATAAATTGCTTCTACGAGAAATAGCTGGCGGTAAATTGCTTCGGCAATAAACTGTGGAGGCGGTAAACAGTTGGCGATAAATACCTGGCGGCAAAATGCTAACAGTGAATTGCTGGCGATAAATTTTCCGGATACGCTCCTTGACATCAAATAAAAGGGTTTGACGAGTTATTTTTTAAAAAAATTTTAATTCTTTTAAAATTTTCAAAATTTAAAGAAATTCAAAAAATCCAAATTTTAAAATTTCCGATATTTTATTAATTTACAAAATTATGACAAATTTGTTTTCAAACCTTGTATTTAATATCTTTCAAATCTTGTATTTAATATCTTGCGGATGAAACAGTTTTATTGCCTGTTTTACGCTTCTCGCTTCATCTTAAAAAAAAATATTCACACTTATGTATGAAGCAAGTGAAAATGCATGCACACATGGTCAAAAAGTATGGATTTGAAAAATAAAAAAATTATCAGTTAGTTATATTGTTATTGTTAGGATTTTTTAAGCATTATAAAAAAACAAATATATTTTTTAATAAAAACAATTAACGCTGCTTTTCCTATTGTCATTCAATAAATTTCATCCTAATTTTTTTCGCAATCTATTTATTAAAAAAAACTTCATTTGCCTATTTAGATTTTTAAAACAAAACCCTGGGTGCGATTGTATCAGGCACGGATACAGGATTTCGTTTAGGAGGGTTAATTTTTGTGTGATCCATGCACCTAATACTTTAAATAATGCTTTGTTTTATATATATATATATATATGTATACCTATGTATACCTTAGGGTGCTTTATTTTAGAGCGACATTTTTTTTACAGACTTGCTTAAATAGACATTTTTGAAGATAATTTCATCCTGTATAAAGATTTTAGAACCGAAATTCGAAAAATATATTCTTACCGTACGAGCGGAAGGAGAAAAGATTAAGAAACTGTTTTTTAATGGTTTATAAAAGGAAATATTTAAAAATTGAATAGCAACGGCTTAAAATAAAGATTAAGAGCATTGTATTGGCTCAAAATTTTTGTTTTCTGACCGGTTACAAAATTTTCAGGTGGAACTTTGAAAAAAAAGGTCGCTCTAAAATAAAGCACCCTAGTATACCAATTGCACCCATTGCCCCCTATATCCGCGCCTGATTTGTATTAAAAAGTATTTGTCAACGTTTTGTTAAGTGTTTTTCCGGTATTTATTTTAACAATCTAAGCAAAATTACCTTTCTATTCCCGCTGTTTTAAACGATTGCATTTCTTTCCGGTAGGTGGCTCCCGGTAGGGAGAAGCCGGGAACTGTCCGTCTTTTACCGGTAGGCGAGTTAGGTGCAGATTTTGGTTGTTGCGGTTGGTTTTCTTTCAGTTTTGATTTCAGTCCTTTGTAGGCACTTTTCATACCTTTACCACCGTCCTTAACCTAATAAAAATTTGTATAATAAAATAATATCAAGAATAAAATAGCCAAAACAAAAACAAATAAAAAACTAAAGGACTACTGCTTGTGAAACTTACCGTTTTAACGGCTGATTTCATAGCAGGATTTGCCTGAAAAAATAATTACAAGCTCACAAAACAAGACAAAACAAAATGCAAAAACCAGATAAAACCCAAATTAAAACAGATTAGATCAGAATTTAAGACTGTACTTACTTTTTCTTTGACACTTTTGAAGAAAGCAGTTCCCTCTTTCTTCATGGAAGAGGTCCAGTCTTTGTATTGCTGTTTCAATTTGGAACTAGCTTTTTCCGAATAACGGCACGCCTCCATCTCAAATTCGTCGGAAAATCCCAAGCCGTTATTTAACATTGCTAATCTTTCCTCAATAAACTAAAAAATAAACACATTATTAAGACCAATTTATTTTTCATTATGAAATACATTTCAATGATAACTTTTTTACATTACATTTGAGAAGCGATAAAACTAAATTCAATTTATTTTTTGTTATGTATGATGGTTTAAAAAATGGATTTATTGCGTTTTGTTTGATCAATCCTCATTTTATAAATTAAATTAATGGAGAATTGCTAAATTAATTTTAAATATACTATAATCCTTTCTTATAAGTAAAATATTATATTTATTTTTAAATATACACTGTTTCGTTAATTTTTTGATTAATAAAAATTTGAGTTTTCCGTACTATAATTTTCTTGATATTATTATTATTAAAAATTAAAAATGATCGTTTTGTATAATGTAAAGTAAAGAAAGTAGTAACGCCATCAACGCAATATTAACTGTAATGTAATTTACTTGTTGGAAAATTTGTAGATGCAGCATTTTCCTCAGGAACGGTTGTAAGGAGGCCGGTCTGGTTTCGATAAACCTGGCTTCGTCGAAGGTCACTTTTTCTCCCAACTTGAAGCTAAGGGCGTCCCTGTAACCGCCGATCAGTTGAACTAGGGCGCGCAAAAACGCCCTTGAAACCCCGTCGCCCAAAAGCGCAGACTTGTTGCGCAGCTGTTTTTTCAATGAGCCAACCTACAAGAAAATAGTAAAAATAGGAACTAACTTAGAAAACACTAAAAATGTCATTAAGGCTTTTTGTTTAGCTTTATTTGATTTAACATATTTATTAAAAAAGTTCATTAAATTAAGTAGGTAAATATTTTTGCATAAATTACCTTAAAAGCATATAGTTTTATATAACAACTTCAATTTCATAAAAAACATGCAACCATACAACAATCTATTTTTAGAATAAATATGATAATTATGATAAATATTTACAGGAGCAGTTCTTGTAAGAGTTTTATTGTTAATTTAATGGGTCGTAGATCTCGTTCATGTATTTTATTATCTATTTTAGGAATTATAGAACAGGCTCTGAATCAGGTTTCTGATAAAAAAGGACTAGTTGTTGGGGATTTTAATGTGAAATTTGGAACTGATTGTAGTGAGTGTGCTGCACTTTGTGACGTTTTTATGACCTTTATCCTAAAACCTCTGTTTACTGAATCTACTAGAGGTTCAAACTGCTTAGACATGTTCGTTAATTTTGACACTAGGGCATTTATACCTTCAACCATTGATCTTTATTTGTCTGATCACAAAGCCCAAGCTCTAAAATTTTCATTGGAGAAACACGAAGAGGGCTTCAACGGTTCTAACAAAAAGTTGTGCAGACCAATTACAAAAATGGGTCTATATTGTACTCCTTACTTGAACAAGACACTTGAGATTTCACAAGAGACCTACACCCTAACTTACTATTCTTTAAGTTTATGACAATCCTTCATAATTTATTTTCTAAAATTATTTCCACAAAAAATTGTAGTTGGCAATAATTTTAAGAAGTTCCACCACAACTGGTTCGACAATGAACTACAAAAAATAAGAGAAGGCCTATTAATTGTCTCGCAGCTTTGTAAATCTTTTACAGAAAATACACATTTAATAACTCAAAGAAATAAATTAAAAATTAAATACAAAAAAACTATTATTAATAAAAAAATTAAGTGCAATGATGCAATAATAAATAAGTCAAATTGACCAAATAAAACAATGTGGGAAATAATAAATGAAAACAGGGGCGTACTTGGACACAGTGAGCATACAGTCATAACTGATGATGACTTTAACAATTTTTTTTACTAATATTGCACAACAAATTATAAGACAAATTGTACCCCCTGGTCTTGACGCTGTTAACAATATTTAATCTTGCCTTACAAATCAATCTTTTTCATTTAGAAAGTAACGTTTAACACAGTGGCGGGGGGGCCCGTATAAAAAATGTGGTAGGGGCCCTTATACGGGAAAAGCTGCTGGCCCAAAGTCTATTTTGGGCCAACAAAAAGAAATTTTTTAGAGTATCATTTTTTTGCATTTACCAATTTTTTATAATTTAATAAATAATATTACATATACATAGCTTTTTATGTACAGGGAAATTTTAAAATTTGGTCTGGTTTTTGAAATTTACCGTTCTTCAACATCTTTTAAAAGGTTTCTATTTTAAAACAAACGCAAGTCATTTGAAATAATTGTAACGCTAATAATTATTTCTAATTTGCGATTAATATAACCTATGATAATAATACGCAAAGCAGACTCAGGGTCGGTTTATCAATGTCCGGTTAAAGTTGCAGTTAGTTATTTGGCAGATAATCTCCCCATATACCATTGTTCTCACAATGATCGATATGGAATTTAACTGTCAGATAGACTAACTGGAACTTAACCAGAGATTCATAAACGGGCCCTGAGTATGCGGCGCAGGGCACAGAACAATATGCGCAGACAACGCATAGCGGAAAGGTGCCGGCAGAAACAATTCGTATGAGTTCACGGCCTCGTTGGAACAGGAGGGTATTCAGGAAAATTTTTACTTAATAAGTCGAAGTATAAACAATTAAATAATAATATTATTTATTTATTTAATTTCTTGCCCAAATTTTTTTAACATGTGGGAAATATGTTTTTTGCTTACGCATGTCGAAGCCAAGCCCTGGTTTAACATGACAAGAGACGTAATTGCCAATTTAAAAAACCCAAATTCTTCTGATATATTTGGCTACAATGTTAATTTGATCAAGGGTATCAAAAATCTCATTATAGGTCCCTTAACCAACCTTATTAATTACTGCATCTCTAATAGTGTATTTCCGGATGTCCTCAAAGATGCTTTAATAGTGCCAATTTACAAAAAGGGTGATACAAAGGAAGTAAACAACTACCAACCTATCTCCCTTTTACCAATAATATCAAAAATCTATGAAAAACTGCTGGTAAATCATGTCTGAGTTGTTTGAATCAAATAATATATATTTTAGTAGCCAGTATAGTTTTAGAAAATGTAAAAACACTACTCTTGCCATACTGGATCTGGTAGAGCACATCTTGTTCTATTTCGAACGAGGGGAGCTTAATATCTCAGTCTTCTGTGATCTCTCGAAGGCCTTCGACTGTGTATCACATGACATATTGTTACTTAAACTTAAAAAGTACGGTTTAACTGACTTATCGACCAAACTTCTAAGATCGTACTTAACAAGTAGGTCTCAGACAGTGAAAGTAAACGGATCCTTCTCAGCAAAACAGTTTTTTAAACATGGAGTCCCCCAAGGGTCAGTACTTAGGCCTATCATGTTTCTTATACGAGCCCTAACCACATAATGTTCGGACACTTCATAATTTATACAGAAATTTTTTTCGTGAATACTATCTCAAAATTATTAGAAGTTATGAAAAATTCAGCTTATTTTGGCATATACCCCTCGAAGCGATTTTTATTTTTAAAAAGTTTACCTTTTATTTTTAGCTTTTAAAAAAAGGCTAACTTTTTAACTTTTTTTTGCATGAGTAAAAAAAGTTATAAATGGGCCCATTAAAAAGAACATAAAATATTATACAAACCCTGAAAATTTGGTAAAAATTGTATAAATAATAAGAAAGTTATAGCGATATATATATCTGCAAAATCTCCCGTTTCCTAAGAAAATTGCAAAAACTCTTTAAAAATAGCATTTTTAAATTACTTATACTTTTTTATAACTTATTTATTTTTTACCAAATTTTCAGGGTTTGTATAATATTTTATGCTCTTTTTAATGGGTCCATTTATAACTTTTTTTACTCATACAAAAAAAAGTTAAAAAGTTAGCCTTTTTTTAAAAGCTAAAAATAAAAGGTAAACTTTTAAAAAATAAAAATCGCTTCGAGGGGTATATGCCAAAATAAGCTGAATTTTTCATAACTTCTAATAATTTTGAGATAGTATTCACGAAAAAAATTTCTGTATAAATTATGAAGTGTCCGAACATTATGTGGTTAGGGCTCGTATATGTCAATGATCTTCCTTACTTTAATGATCTTGCTAAACATGTTATTTTTGCTGACGATACAACTATTACTACCAACAGTAAACATTTTAACAATGTCGTGTCTGAGCCGTGTAATGCGCTGACGAGGGCTTCCGATTGGTTTCGCGCAAACAAGCTCTCACTGAATCAGGACAAGACTGTTCGAATGTTGTTTACTCTGAAGACTTCAGATTTTTTTGATAATTATAGTAAAAGCACTAAGTTCTTGGGGGTTCATCTGGACTACAAGCTAAAATGGGATGCTCACATTAATCAACTGGCGTCAAAACTTGGCAAGGGTATTTATGTTTTGCGGAACTTGTCACACTCTGTTACAAAGAAAACGCTTAAAACAGCTTACTTTTCTTTACTACTCTCTTATACAATACTTGCATGGGGAAGAGCGTCCGAATGGAAACGCATTTTTGGGCTGCAGAGGAAGGCAATCCGAAAAGTACATAATTTACTTTTAAACGAAAAAAAAGAAATCATGTATTTTTATCATAAGGTCTTTTTTACTTCGCTTGAATATTACTTACAGTTTTCCTTATAGAAGATTTTTGCTTTATAACTTTATAATTTTTTTAAATCATTAATAATTATAATTAGTAAAAAATTCTAATTTTTAGGGAAAATTAAGGGAAAATAATGATTTTTTAAAATTATTAAGTTATTAAGCAAAAATCCCCTAAGAGGAAAACTTTAATAATAAAGCAAAGTAAAGAATACCTTAGGATGAAAATACATGATTTATTTTTTTGTTTAAACACGGTTTCGCGAAAGGATCGAACGGTCGATTTGCAAGGGTTCAAGAAATCGATTGAAACCTTTTTACCTTATTTCTACATCTAAATGCAATACTTTTTTCAAAAAAAAATCTCGTCCATCGACAACTTTGTTTTTATTTTTTTCTTCACTGTGTTAAAAATGAAGAAATTTAATTTTTTTTAATAACTTTATTATTTCAAAATGTATCGATTTCAAATTTGGAAAAAATGTAGATCTTACTAATGAAAATTAATCCATGATGATAATTTAATTTAAAATTTGAATAATCGAAGAAGCAACTTTGTTTTATAAATTTGAGTACAACACGTTAAAGTATTGATATTTGACTATTATTTGATATATTAACTTTTTTATGGAAATGATGTTTCTGTGGCCAGGATCAGTTTTGAATTAGCAGTAGCAGTATTCATAAATGTTTAGTTTTGTCATTTTTATACAAATATTTTATTAATAATTAAGTATAGCATAACACATAAATGACGTTTAATATACAGGGTGCTTCACGTACGTAGTCCGTTTCTAGGGGATCGCGAAAGACATCGATTTAAAAGTTTAATAGCGTAAATTATTCGATTTAGACTTTTTTCCTAAATTATTTTGAACAAAATAATACTTCCTGTTCTACCGAAAATGTCTTTAACTTTGTTATTTTAAACAGGACACCTCATATATTTTTACAATTTTGAATTCTACATAAAATTCTGAGTAAAATGGCTATACCTACCATATCCTATACCTAAAGTCAATATTTTTCGAGTTATTAATTTTTCAATCAAATATTTTAATTAATTTTAAACAATGACAGATTAAGTGGTAACCATGGATACTGCCACATTAACCCACATGTCGATGACTTTTTGCCAAAGTATCGCAAGTAACATAACCCAA